ATATATACACACCCCTCTGGGTTTTCTTCTATTTTCCTTCTAGTTCTTGTTCTTGTTTATTACCACTTATCTCCATGGGGAAGTGGAACAGAATTCTTCCTCCGTAAGCCATGCGTGTTGTAAGAGGTGACTAAAATGCCGGGACCAAGGGCCTAGTAAGCCCTTCTGTATAAATTACTAAATTTAAAAAGAGAAACTTTCGTTTTTCTTTTTGGGCCACCCTGCCTTGGTGGGATACGGCCGGTTTGTTGAAAAAAAAAAAAAAGGCCCACTGAGTATACCAGGTAAAGTGTATGGTAGAGTAGTAATGAAAGAATTAAGGGTAAGATGGAGAGCAGGACTGCAGATGAACAAGGAGGTTTAAGGAAGGGTAGGGGATGCGTAGACCACATGTTTACATTGCAGCATTTAAGTGAAAAATATTTAAATAAAGGTAAGGAACTTTCTGTTACATTCATGGATTTTGAAAAGGCACATGATAGGGCAGATTGGGGAGCAGTGTGGCAGATGTTGCTAGTGCATGGAATTGGTGGTAGGTTACTGGCAGCAATTAAGAGTTTTTATGAGGATAGTGAGGCTTAGGTTAGGGTATGTAGAAGAGAGGGGGAGTGTTTACCAGTAAAAGTAGGCCTTGAACAGGGTTGCATGATGTCACCATAGTTGTTTAACATATTTATAGATGGGGTTGTAAAAGAAGTGAATGCTAGGGTGATGAGGGGAGGTCTTCAACAAACCGGCCATATTACACCAAGGCAGGGTGACCCAAAAAGAAAAACAAAAGTTTCTTTTTAAATTTAGTAATATATACAGGAGAAGGATTACTAGCCCCTTGCTCCTGGCATTTTAGTTGCTTCTTATAATACCCATGGCTTTCGGAGAAAGAATTTGAGGAGACATATGGGTTTAAAATATGTGGAATCTAATACGGATTAAAACATTTGGAATATAATACAAAGTGGGAGTTGCCATAGCTGATTTTTGCAGACGACACTGTGCTTTTGGGAGATTCTGAAGATAAGTTACAAAAGTTGGTGGATGAATTTGGGAGGGTATGTAAAAGAACAAAATTAACAGTGAACATAGGAAAGACCAAGGTGATAAGGGTAACTAATGATTTCCGCAATGGAAGACTGGTATCAAACTGGAAGGAAGGAGTATGGAGAAAGTATATATGTTCAGATATTTGGGAGTGGACTTGTCAGCAGATGAGTCTATGAAAAATGAAGTGAACTATAAAACCGATGAGAGAGAAAAGGTGGGTGGTATACTGAGGCATCTGCAGAGAGAAAGGAATATGGAGGCAAAAAGGGTAATGTATCAGAGGATAGTGGTACTAACACTCTTATGTGGGTGTGAATGTTGCAGTGAGGAGGAGGTTGGAGCAGTGATGTTGTGTCTGAGGGCAACATGTGGTGTAAATGTTGTGCAGAGAATCCGTAGCCTGGAGATTAAGAGGTGCAGAGGTTAATGACAGTATAATTCAGAGGACGGGGAGGTTGTTGAGGTGGTTTGGACATTTAAAGAAGATGGAGTAAAACAGGATGATTTGGATGGGCATATATATCTGTAGTCCTAGGTTGGTAAACAGCAACCGCCCAGGGAGGTACTACCGTCCTGCCAAGTGAGTGCAAAACGGAAGCGTGTAATTGTTTTACATGATGGTAGGATTGCTGGTGTCTTTTTTTTCTGTCTCATACACATGCAAGATTTCAGGTACGTCTTGCTACTTCTACTTACACTTAGGTCACTACACATACATGTACAAGCATATATATACTCACCCCTCTGGGTTTTCTTCTATTTCCTTTCTAGTTATTGTTCTTGTTTATTTCCTCTTGCCTCCATAGGGAAGTGGAACAGAATTCTTCCTCCGTAAGCCATGCGTGTTGTAAGAGGCGACTAAAATGCCAGGAGCAAGGGGCTAGTAACCCCTTCTCCTGTATATATTACTAAATGTAAAAGGAGAAACTTTTGTTTTTCCTTTTGGGCCACCCTGCCTCGGTGGGATATGGCCGGTGTGTTGAAAGAAAGAAAAGAAAGGATTGCTGGTGTCTTTTGTCTGTCTCATAAACATGCAAGATTTTAGGTATGTCTTGTTACTTCTACTTGCACTTGGGTCACACTACACATACATGTACAAGCATATATATACACACCCCTCTAGGTATTCTTCTATTTTCTTTCTAGTTCTTGTTCTTGTTTATTTCCTCTTATCTCCATGGGAAAGTGGAACAGAATTCTTCCTCCGTAAGTCATGCATATTGTAAGAGGCGACTAAAATGCCGGGAGCAAGGGGCTAGTAACCCCTTCTCCCGTATAAATTACTAAATTTACGAGAAACTTTCGTTTTTCTTTTTGGGCCACCCTGCCTTGGTGGGATACGGCCGGTGTGTTGAAAGAAAGAAAGATATATCTGTAGTGGCAGAAAGGCAGGGTAGGGGTCACCCAAAAAAAGGTTGGAGGGAGGGGGGTTAAAGGAAGTTTTGTGTACAAGGGACTTGGACATCCAGCAAGCAAGAGTGAGCATGTTAGATAGGAGTGAGTGTAGACTAATGGTTTATGAGACTTGACAAATTGTTGAAGTTTGAACAAAGTAACACTTATGAAGGGACTCATGGAAACCAATTAACCAGACTCAAGTCCTGGAGGTAAGAAGTACAGTGCCTACATTCTGAAGGAGGGGTAGGAGGGGCATCAGAACTGTAGTATCTTCATGCCTCTGGCAAGACAGTGATAAGAATGAATGATGGTGAAAGTGTTTCTTCTTTTATGGGTCACTCTGCCTCAGTAAGAGACAACAGTGTCTTAAAAAAATAACTACCTTCATCTCAAATCCATTTTCAAATGAACTAAACAATATAATCAATGCTGAATTAGAAAAGGCCTTCCTCACTGAGTGGTTCAATCATTCATTTTATTCCTAAAGTGAGAATATACCTGTCCCTGAAAATCTTGCAAATACATCTTTAATACAGCCATTGGGTTGAGGAGTTATGAAAACATTTAAGTACCACTACATATGCAGTGTGTTGCATAAACCAGTGGCAGGAATGGACAATACACACAATGGGGTGCCAGTTTTGGCACAAATTTAACCCTTTGGGGGTCGGCAGGTCCTCTCAGAGACTTGTTCTCAGGGTCGGCCAAATTTAAAAAAAAAAAAATTATTTTTTTTCTAATGAAAAGATAGAGAATCTTTTCCCGATCATAATGACATCAAAAGTATGAAATTTGATGGAAAACTTATGGAATTATGCTCTCGCGAAGTTAGCAGTCTCGACGATGTTTACGCATCGGCAATTTTGCCCACTTTGTGCCTTATTTTTGGCCAATTCCAGCGTACTAGTCAACAAAAATCATAACTATTTTGCTAGAACTTCATTTTTTCTATCGAATGAGTACAAGAAACCACCCATTTACCAATTTCAACTATCCAATAAAGTGGTCAGAATTTAGCAATTTTGCCAATTTCACACAAATTTCAAAAGATGCCAATTTCCGAATAGGGTCCAGAATAAACAAGAAAGACATTCATAGCACTAAAATAACAAGTTCTCTGTTCGTTAGTCACATCGAACATTTCTGCTACTTTGAGCTCAATTTCAAGGTACTTTTCATTGTAAAACCAGCCAAATCATCTCAATTTCTGTAATATGTCTTCCATTCTATAAAATGAGACCAAGAAAATTAGAATACAACAATAAATACCATATGAAAATACAGTGCAAAGTTGCTGTTTTAATCCAAAAACACAGTCAAAGTTTTTTTTTTTTCTCTCATTACTCACTGTGTGCTGCAGGATTTTTTTTATACTGCGCACACTGACCACATAGACCCATTCTTTCATATGTAGGCCTACCAGCTTTCTCTCACTAGATTTGAGGGCGGTAGAATTTAGGCTTACCAGTACGTCAAAAACTCTGGGTCGTAAGACGTACTAGTACGTCCGAAACCCCCAAAGGGTTAACATGGCAGATGCATTCCCCTATGTACAAAAGAGCATGGGATCATGTACCAAGATCAACAATAAATTTTGATTGGAGAAAAATATGGCTTAGTGTGGTGAATAATAATGTTTTTTTTTCCATCACTGGGAAGTAAAGTTCAGAAAATTGTTGAGCTGGCAAGGAGAGTGCCAGGTGAGGGATTTCAAGATAGTCAGCCAGATAGCATCAATGAGTTTTTGAAAGAATATGAAGAACCAATTGAAGAGGAAATGCTGCAGGTATTACATTCCCAGCTGCAGTGAACAGACAACAACAAAGATGAAAAACGTGAGCCTGAAGGAGTGATGTTGACTGCAAAAGATACCTAAGTCACAGCATAGTGATGGTGTAGCTGCAGACTTATTTATTGAAAAGGATCATGATTCATCTTAAGGCACTCCACTGACGAAGCTGTATCAACATTATACAAACCCCAACCTTCAATATCACAAGAGCCAAACCTTCAACATCAGCCTAGTAGGGCCACAGTTGCCCTCTCTACTCCAAGGCAATAAGCATCCTGAACTCAACTTTAAGGTAGATAAATAATATACAGTATTAACGTAACCATATTTTGGATAATATACTCTTTGTTTTCACTGTCTGAGCCTCACTAAAGTTCAAGTATTTAACAGATCATAATGCAACCCTATTTTTCCCATATATTTTTCAGTCCATAAGCTGCAGAAACCACCAGTAGTGCAGTTTACCAGGGCATAACCCACATGAACTATGATCATCCACTGTAATACAAACGCTCTTCAGTCCAAGAAGATATTTCTACCAAGAACACCTACAGATGTAAAAGCAAATTATGACAGTAACAACACAGGAGAAAATATGAAATACTGACATATGCATAAAACTATTATAAATAAATTTTTAAGTCAAACAAATTCAAGCTGCTATACTAAAATTAATGCAACACTATAACTATGGAAGAGATATAATTTAACTGTTTTATACTATCATAATCAGTTAAAGTTAAGCAGACATCAATTAGCATCACATTACCTTCGCTTTTCTTTTCTTTCATGCTTTTCTTTAATTTCTTTCTTTGCTTTGAATGCTGCTGAGGCTCCAAGGGCACTTGGAGCATCTCTTAATCCCATACTTTTGGCATAATGACCGAGATGCAAGGCCTTGAAGCTAAACATTTCTCGTACTTCCTTAGGGTAAGATGCATATGATCGAACAAATGAGATGTATGCTGAAAGGTAAATAAATTAAATTAAAAATATTAAGTGATTATAAATTAGGATGACACAGTAGCAGCTCAAAAACATCCTATCTTAAAAATATAACCAAGATATAAATCCATTCAATACTGCATTAAAGTTTTGAAAATGAAAGCATGAAGCTGTTATTTCACCAGGACTTTCTTGAACAGTGATACCAGAATAAAGAAACAATAGGCAATGTTCTATATTCACATGCACTACCTGCATAAAAATGTTAATGAAAATACAGTGAAGTACTGTTATTCCATACATTAAAAATTTATGTTTTCTTTTTCTGTTCTGGCTCCCAGTGTTTTTTACACATCTATATACAGTATAAAAGTTTTTTGGGGACAACGAAAGAGTAAAGAACAAAAAGGCACAATACCGTGACTGGAACAATGCACAAATAACCTGCACAGAGAGAGAGAAACTTGTGACAATGTTTCAGTCTGACATAAGCTTCTCTCTCCTATGTGTGGGTTATTTGTGTAATGAAAAAGAGCTGAAAGATGAGTCACTTATACACACACAAATAACCCGCACATAGAAGAGAGAAGCTTACGACGACGTTTCAGTCCGACTTGGACCATTTACAAAGTCTCACTAACCAGAAGTGGAGCAGGACGGCTATATATAGGCAGGAAGAGGTAGAGGTAGAGGGCGGCAGCGGCAGCAGCAGCGGCAGCAGCAGCGGCAGCAGCAGCGGCAGCAGCAGCGGCAGCAGCAGCAGCAGCAGTAGTAGTAGGGAACTAAGGAGGAGGAGCCAGTCAAATATAAAGACAGGGGAGCACTGCAAGGGAGCTAGGTGCCCACAGAGGGAGAGCAAGTGCACAGAGGTGGGGGGAAGGGAAAGTGATGAAATAAATAATGAAGGAACAGAAACACGCGACAGAAGAAAGACAAAAAAAGGAAAGAGGAAAGGGGAAGAGGGAGAAGAAGAAAAAATGAGGAATCAGGTTAAGTCACGGGTGTTCTGAAGTTTGGAGCATTTTACAATGTAGTGGGAGAGGAAGGCATCTACAGAGACGAAGCCAGGACTAAGATTCATACAAGGAAAGTTGTGTATTAGAGAGGATTCAACAAGATGGCGACTGTTAAAGTTGGAAGTAGGGAAGACAGTTTTAGCAGAAGACCAGTCTATAGGATGGCTGTGATCTCTGACGTGACAGAAAAGAGCATTGTTAGTGTCGGCAAGCCTAACACTATTTTTGTGCTCCCTAAGTCTGTCAGAAAGAGATCGGCCAGTTTCTCCAAAGTATTGAAGAGGACAGGAGGAGCAAGAAATAGAGTAGACACCAGGAACATCTGTAGAGGGAGGAGAGGTATGAACGAAATTAGTGCGAAGAGTGTTAGTCTGGTGGAAAGTAAGCTTGATGTCTAAGGGCGGAGAGAATTGTTGAGATTAGAAAGATTGGAAATGTAGGGAAGGCAGAGGACAGAAGAGTTCCCAGGAGTAGAGTGTTTGGGAGAGAAGAAATTACGTTTAGCTCATGAGAAGGCAGAGTCTATGAAATGGGAAGGGTAGCCAAGACGGGAAAACGAATTATGAAGAGTGGAATTTTCTGCTGGAAGGAACTGAGGATCACAGATGCGGAGGGCACAGAGAAAGAGGGAGAGAAGAACACTTTTCTTGACAGGGGAAGCATGATAGGAAAAGTAGTGAATGTACATGCCACTGTGCATAGGTTTTCGGTAAATGGAAAAGGAAAAACCTGTATCTGAGCGGTGAGCATGGACATCAAGGAAAGGAAGCAAAGAATTAGATTCCCATTCAGCTTTAAACTTAATGGAAGGGGCGAGATTATTAAGAGCTTCAAGAAAAGGTTGGAAGAGATTGGAGTCATGAGGCCACAGAGCAAAGATGTCATCCACATAGCGGAGCCAGAGTGAAGGTTGCACATCGATGGTAGGAAGAAGAACAGTCTCGAAGTATTCCATGTAAAGATTAGCAAGGACAGGAGAGAGAGGAGAGACCATAGCGACACCGAAGGTTTGAGGTCGTAAATGGTCCAAGTCGGACAGAAACGTCGTCGTAAGCTCCTCTCTTCTATGTGCGGGTTATTTGTGTATCGTTCCAGTCACGGTATTGTGCCTTTTTTGTTATTCACTTATACATTTTATGTGAAGGGTACGGTCATGCTGTTCATTTCTAAACATTACAGTTTTATTAATCTAACTTATCTAATTCTACTAATCTCCATGGAGAAGTGGAACAGAATTCTTCCTCCATAAGCCATGCGTGTCATAAGAGGCAACTAAAATGCCAGGAGCAAGGGGCTAGTAACCCCTTCTCCTGTATACATTATTAGAAATAAAAAGAGAAACTTTTGTTTTTCTTTTTGGGCCATCCTACTTTGGTGGGATATAGCCAGTTTGTTGAAAGGAAAGAATTCTACTAAATTTTTACATCTATGTTGGCATCTGATAGGACATAATGAGGGTAAGTGAGGAAACTAAGTAAACCTCATATTTTTCAATGTTTTATACAGCAGTCCACCACCTTTCGTGTCTCCATCTACTGTATTTCTGCCGGTTCATGATTCATATTTTGTATTTACTTCCTCCTTTTACTTCTAAGGCTCCCCAACAATCGTGGTGGCTGTACCTTTGCTTCTCTCAGTCCAGTTTCAGTAGTTGAAATAAAAATAAAATTCTCTAATTTTTTTACTAAATACATTCATTTTAGACATGTATGAAGAGCATGTATACCTTTTAACATGCCTTTCTATACAGTAAACCCTCTATTTAATGGACTAATTGGGGAAGTAGGTGATCAGTAATAGCAGTTGTGGTGGATAGAGAAAAGATTGATTTTGATGTGATTGTAATAATAATAAACAATTCTGCAACCAAAGGACTTTACTGTCTCCAAGTCTACTAAATAACACAGTAGATTTTGTTGCGAAGTCCAAAGTCCATTAAATGGAGGGTTAACTATACTTTGTAACATACCTCTCTTTGCCATTTCATGAAGATCCTGGTCTGAGAGCAGCAATTTTTCCACCTTGATCTGAAGGCTAGTAGCTGCCTCTTCAACTGTATGACCAACCTGCTATGACAAGAAAACATATACAGTATTTTTTTTTTACTTGTTTCCTCTGTTTCAAGAGTTACTCTTCAAGGATTTCTGAATTTAGAGAAGACCCGAGTGAAATTTTCTAAGGAAGATATCAAACAAACCATACCACGGGCGGGATTTGAACCCACGGTCAGAGAGTCTCAAAACTCCAGACCGTCGCATTAGCCACTGGACCAGCTAACGCGACAGTCTGGAGTTTTGAGACTCTCTGACCGTGGGTTCAAATCCTGCCCGTGGTATGGTTTGTTTGCAATCATGTCACTACGATTTCGTGAGTCAGTGATATCAAACAATAAAGCATATGGCATTAAGAGTGATGAGAAGACAACTTACTTCCTGGAGAGTGAAGAATTGACTGCAATGAATTATGCCAAAAAAGGTTTAAAACTATGAGTTGGGAAACCTCACACTGTTGTGTATTATTCTGTGTGCACGTACATGTATGTATGACCATGGTGTTGAGTGAGTGAAGCACTCGTTACAGAGGAATGCAGATGCCAGTGTCTCCTACCTGCCTCTTGCCACACAAGTCTCTCGGCAGGACCTGATTACACCCACCTATTCCCACCTGTGCATCTGTATGATGTAGCAAGGCATGGCTGATTGATAGGCAACAAAGTCTGCATAAACTGGGGAAAATCAGAATAGAGGGCAGCCACAATGGGCATTCCAAAAGATCAGTTTTAGGCCCCCTGTTGTTTGCTGTATACATTAATGACTTTAGAGTAGCATTTCTCAAATTGTGGACCACACACTCCATGGCAGCCATGATCAGGTTACCTTAAAATAACTGGTGGGTTGCCTCACAACCTACCAGTGGCAAGGGCAATTTCACTGATGATAAAAACTGGCAGGCTAAAAAATTTAGAGAATACCATAGAATTTTAGGGTGATTTTGAAAAATTTATGTCAGAAACATGGTAGAGATGATGCAGTTCATCAAAAACTAGTACAAAGTCCTTATTATCAGAAATAAAAAAAAATCATGGCACCTATATACTAAATGCAGAACTTGATCATAATGGCTACACAAGAGAACTTGGGAATCCTAGCCAGCAGGAATTGGAAGTAATGGCTAGCAGAAATTTGAAGTAAAGACACCAGTGGATAAGTGTCCAAAATAAGACTAACAGACTGCTTGGATTTATATAAAGAGGGGTTTGGGATATTGGCAGTTTGGAGGAGTAAGTTATATATGCTTCTAAACTGTTGTATCTGGGCACCTCTGTAAAGACATTGATTATGTGTGAGTGAGGTGAAAGTGTTGAATGATGATGAAAATATTTTCTTTTTGGGGATTTTCTTTCTTTTTGGGTCACCCTGCCTCGGTGGGAGACAGTCGACTTTTTTTTTTTTTTTTTTTTTTTTTTCAACAAGTCGGCCGTCTCCCACCGAGGCAGGGTGACCCAAAAAAGAAAGAAAATCCCCAAAAAGAAAATACTTTCATCATCATTCAACACTTTCACCACACTCGCACATTATCACTGTTTTTGCAGAGGTGCTCAGAATACAACAGTCTAGAAGCATACACATATAAAGATACACAACATATCCCTCCAAACTGCCAATATCCCAAACCCCTCCTTTAAAGTGCAGGCATTGTACTTCCCATTTCCAGGACTCAAGTCCGACTATATGAAAATAACCGGTTTCCCTGAATCCCTTCACTAAATATTACCCTGCTCACACTCCAACAGATCGTCAGGTCCCAAGTACCATTCGTCTCCATTCACTCCTATCTAACACGCTCACGCACGCTTGCTGGAAGTCCAAGCCCCTTACCCACAAAACCTCCTTTACCCCCTCTCTCCAACCCTTTCGAGGACGACCCCTACCCCGCCTTCCTTCCCCTATAGATTTATATGCTTTCCATGTCATTCTACTTTGATCCATTCTCTCTAAATGACCAAACCACCTCAACAACCCCTCTTCTGCCCTCTGACTAATTACTTTTATTAACTCCACACCTTCTCCTAATTTCCACACTCCGAATTTTCTGCATAATATTTACACCACACATTGCCCTTAAACAGGACATCTCCACTGCCTCCAACCGTCTCCTCGCTGCTGCATTTACCACCCAAGCTTCACACCCATATAAGAGTGTTGGTACTACTATACTTTCATACATTCCCTTCTTTGCCTCCATAGATAACGTTTTTTTTGACTCCACATATACCTCAACGCACCACTCACCTTTTTTCCCTCATCAATTCTATGATTAACCTCATCCTTCATAAATCCATCCGCCGACACGTCAACTCCCAAGTATCTGAAAACATTCACTTCTTCCATACTCCTCCTCCCCAATTTGATATCCAATTTTTCTTTATCTAAATCATTTGACACCCTCATTCACCTTACTCTTTTCTATGTTCACTTTCAACTTTCTACCTTTACACACATTTCCAAACTCATCCACTAACCTTTGCAATTTTTCTTTAGAATCTCCCATAAGCACAGTATCATCAGCAAAAAGTAACTGTGTCAATTCCCATTTTGAATTTGATTCCCCATAATTTAATCCCACCCTCTCCCAAACACCCTAGCATTTACTTCCTTAACAACCCCATCTATAAATATATTAAACAACCATGGTGACATTACACATCCCTGTCTAAGACCTACTTTTACCGGGAAATAGTCTCCCTCTCTTCTACAATCCTAACCTGAGCCTCACTATCTTCATAAAAACTCTTTACAGCATTTAATAACTTACCACCTATTCCATATACTTGCAAATCTGCCACATTGCTCCTCTACACTCTATCATATGCCTTTTCTAAATCCATAAATGCAATAAAAACTTCCCTACCTTTATCTAAATACTGTTCACATATATGCTTCAATGTAAACACTTGATCTACACATCCCCTACCCACTCTGAAACCTCCTTGCTCATCCGCAATCCTACATTCTGTCTTACCTCTAATTCTTTCAATTATAACCCTACCGTACACTTTTCCTGGTATACTCAGTAAGCTTATTCCTCTATAATTTTTACAGTCTCTTTTGTCAGTCGACTTGTTGAAAAAAAAAAAAATATTAATAACAGAAGTAATGAAGATTATAATTAAAATACATACATCATATGTAAGGCCTCATGTCTACTATGCAGAGCATGTATGATTGTTATGTATGATCTCCATATTACAGAATGGACCTAAATGAGCTGGAAAACATACAGAGCAGGATGAAAAAATGAATGTCCCATATTATGAAAGTTTCCTAAAGACAAAGTGCCCTGAACAGTATAAAATGATAGGAAATATGACTGAGATGAATAAGTGGAAGGTAAACATAAATAAAGGTTATAAAAATAGGATG